TACGATCATAAACATACCACTCGCCAAATCTAACCGCCTCCTTTCGACTAAGCCGTTCGTAGGTTACACGACGTATCTGTTTGAGAAGCGACCGACATGCCAAGACTGGTTCTCTGGTGTCACCGGTCCTTAATTAATTTATACAGCAATATTCAAATTTATACTCTTAAATCGTATAATTATAAAGCATATGATCGAATATACTACAATTTTATACTAGCGGTGCAAACTTAAGTTTGTTCCAAATTTAATAAATAGAACGTTTGAAATAAATAGTAAAATTGGTTAAGATTAAACTATGTAGTAAAAAAATTTATAAGTTTAAATGTCAACAAAATACTTAAGATAAAATTGCAAATGGCTTTTTTCAGCTAAGTTGCATATGTTTTATTCAAACCAGACATGACCCGTGTATAAATATGTGAAAGTTCCAAGCAGAATTCTATTCTCAATACCAAACTTTTACAATGTGTGCTTAGAGAACAATATGAAAAAAAATGCATTCATGGATATATTGAGATGCATTTGTAGAAGTTTTACTATAGCATCTTGAGATTTAATAGTTGATTAACAAAAACTGTACTTAGAGATAGCTGATGTGCATTCAATACAGATGCATTCATGCACGTGATCCTAACAAATGCATATTTTCCCATCGATAATACCAAATCCAAAAGCCTAGCATATCACGAATATAATTCCGCATATATGTCAGGTGGTATACCAATATTTAGCTTAGTGAATCATGTGTACGAATGCACATCATACGAATTCATAATATCCTTTCAAAAAGTACACATTTAGCTTATCTCTAAGTACTAAAAGGGAACAAATTCGATAAAAATATAACGGCGTGAGTAAAAACTTACTACAATAAACACATATGAGAAAAAATTTAAAGGAATTTAGAACAAAGTTTAGTTGCAATTGATTTTTAACAAGGAATTCTTGAATATAGAGAAACCTCCATAAGTGCATTCTTAAATTCTGGCCCAATATACTTGACCTCTATAAATGCATTTCTTTTATTGTTCTCTAAATGCACATTGTTAAAAGTTTGATTCCTATAGAATGCATTTAGGGAGATTTTTCTGTAAAAAATTTTTTTGGTCTCTTTTAATGTATATTGGATTCTGAGAATTGATTTTCGCTAATAGAACATACCTAAATCATGCATAGATAGGCATTGTTTTGTAATCAAAAAAACTGAATGAAGAAGTAACCAATAAGTACTTCATAGATAGTATTATTATTATAAGATCAGGTAACTTTAGGCACAAATCATATGCATGTAATGTGCATCCTTTTATGTTTAACAGATTGATTTAGTATCTTGTTGATCCAAAATTAGTATCAGGATAACATATAAATAGTTTTATTTTGGTTATTCATAAATTGTAAATAAGTAGTATTTATTGATTAAGATTAGAGAAATGTTATAGGGTTTGCATAGGTATCATGAATAAAGTGGGTTATTTAAGAATTGATCTTTAGAAAAGAAATTGTTTATCTTTCTGTTGGCTATTGCTCACCTAGTAGTTAGAACTGGCTTTGTTGTTTATTTGTAGCTAACACTTTTCTTATTTAAAGAATATAATAAATAAATTAATAAATTAATTAAAAACATTAATACTTAAATAATCATATAGTGCTTGCAGTATGTCAGTTGTCAGTTGGACAAAGTTAACTATTAAGGAGTTACAGAACCTATGTGAGACATATGGGCTTTTTACAGAAGGCAACAAGGAGGAGTTAAATGATAGGTTACAAGAATACTTTGAGAAAATAAGAGAAAACTTGTCTGAAAAACTTCAAGAGAGTAATATTGAAGTAAGAGAATGTTCAGAAGAAGATGTGAATGATTTTAATGTAAAATCTTTGTAAATAAACTAATAATTGATTTAGTAGGTGATTATTTGAAGATTGGCTCTCAGAAAGCTAATTGCAGGATTAAAGATAAGTTTGCTATATATTTCCAAGAAAAAGATAGAGTTGAAGCATTTTTAGTTAATATTTTTATGTCTGCTTTGAGGAAAATAGAAAAAAAAATAGATAGGAACTTTTATGCTTTACACAAAGATTTGGAGAAAGAAGAATTGTTATATGAGGCATGGCTAGGTATTAGTTATTGAAACTATGTGACCAACATAAATATAATTTTTTGGCAAAGATAGGCAAGCACCTATATAGAGCAATTAAAGAGTTGCCAATATCTTTTAGAAAAAAGTTTATTAAAATTAGAAAGAAAATAGAAACCTGTGCAGTTACTTTGAGTTTAGCTGATAGTAAGAGTTGAAGAACTGCCTTAAAAATTGTTGAAAGTAGTAATAAAATAATAGAGAAGTACAAAAATCATATTTCAATTTTTAGCAATACTTGATCAGACTTATGTTTTAGTAAATGGAAGTATAGTGGCAAGTCTAGAAATAATTAACATAAACAGAAGAGTAGTAAGGATTATTTGTTACCAATATCATCTGATTCAAAAGAGAATGAATTATATAAAAAAGATAAAAAAAGAGAAAAAAAGATTTATTTCTTTCATAGTAGAGGAGAATACAGTTGGTAAAATGTTAATCAGTTACATGCTTCAATTGCAGAGATCTCAGTTATATTGCCTTTAATTTTCTTCCACAAATACCAAAACCCTTAGCAAACCTAAAAACACTAATTGACTACAATCAGACCTCTTCTTTAAAAGAATATACAATTCCTATAAGAATAGTAAATATATTGATAATAGAATTAGTCATTAGAAGAATGCAGACTATGGAGGCACTAAACTACAGACAGGTGACACAATATATGATCTTCTTCAGTAGTTATGAATTGGTTAGCAAATAGTGTTCATCTTTTTTTAAGAGGTGTCTTGGTACTTGCAGTTCAACAAGTTTCAAGTCAATATTCACTATCTATAGAGCAAAAGGTAATAGAAGAGACAAATTGGCTATTAAAGACCTTAGCAATTATTTGTTTAGAAAATCAAAAAGAGAGACCCAAATTTCTGTTAAAAATAAGGTAGTTTTCATAGTTTTCAAGAAGGGTCCAAAGAAATGAAGAATGGTAATTGATTTAAGAAAACTGAACTCTATTCTACTAAAGAAAAGATATGTTTAGAAGGCTTGGGTAGCTTACTTCAAACAATAGGAAAAGGATAATATATGATTATGTAAAACCTAAGAGAGGGTTACTATTATATTACAATAAGAGAAGGCACACAATAATTTCTGAGTTTCAGAGTAATAGACAATTAGTATTACTATTGGGTGCTTTCTTTTGATTTGTCACAATTTGTGATGGTCTTCTCAAAGGTTATGAGGTCAATTGTAGGTTATTAGGTTTGTATTGTGTAAACTATTTAGATAATTTCTGGTTAGCACACTCTTTATTAGACATTCTAATATCAATGAGAGATCAGGTAATAAAAGTAGATATGAAAAGATGTAGTTTAATAAGAGAAACATCAAAGGACCAGTGGATTTCAACATAGCAGGTAAAGTTTTTTGGTTTGTTAATAGATATGATAAAAGCACAAGTAATAGTTCTAGAAGACAAAATTGCAAAAACAGGAATGTTATTGGATGAATTAGCAAACAAAGAAAAGTTTCAGTATAGAAATTAGCTACAATAGCAAAAAAAATTCAATCATTAAACAGGTTATTTGCCTATGCCAAGGTTTATTGCCTAGAATTTTATACAATAATAGATATAGTTAAAAGAAGAATATGGCAATAAGACTTACCAGTTCATATAACAGAACAAGCAAGAGAAAATGCCAGGTGGTTGTTTCAAAATTCAAGAAAACAAAATAGCTATCTAGGCTAAAAACCTTCAAAAATCAAGCAGGTATTTGTTAATGCTTTAACAATAGACTGGTTAGCAATTTTTGAAAAACACAGAGTCTTCAGAAATTGGAGTTTAAGAAAGTCATACCAAGAGATCATCAAACTAGAAGCAAAGGCAGTAATATTGGCAATAAAATTCTTTGCAAGACTTCTAGAATACTTATAAATAGATTTATATATCAAAAATCAAGAAGCTATCAGCATAGTGATAAAGAAAGAAAAACTGATATGGCAAAAAAATTGTTAAAAAGATTATAAGAACAGTTGGACAGGTTTGATATTTAGATAAGCAAGATTTTTTGGATCCTATTAGAGTTAAACCTAGCAGACTTGCTAATTAGGTATATAGACCCAAATGATTGATGTTTAGAGCAATCAGTTTTCAAAATTATAAAAAAAAGGTGAGAACTTCTACAATAGACTGAATAGCAGATCATCAGAATGCAAAGCTTCCTTGTTTCAACAGTCACTTTTATTGTCCCAACTCAGAGAGAATAAATTGCTTTGCTCAGAGTTAATGCAAAGAAAACAATTTTGTGTACCCTTTTTGGCTTTAGTTCATCAAGTTTTGCAGCACATTATAGAGAAAAGAACTGTAGCAACAGTAATTGTCCTTAGATGGGTCTCTGCAAAATAGTGACTAATCTTTTTATACAATTAAACAGATGTACTAGTACTATTACATTGCAAAATAGCATTCATAAAGAGAATTTCAGATTAAGTAGAGATATGAAAGAATCTCAATTGTCAGTTTCTAGCAATAAGAGTAGATTAATCAATATGTTACTTACTAGGGCTTAGAACTTATGAAATAATTCAGTTTCATATAGCTGAAATCAGCATCTAGACAAAGCTTGGAGTTTTTATAATAATTATTGTAAGGTTATAGTCTAGAAACACTGCCATCTAAAGTAGACATACTAGTTTCTTTTATGGTTTGGCTTGACCTTACATATTTCTTTTCAAATTGTTAAATGTTCTAGCTACAGTTTCAAGAGAGCATTTAGAGGTACAACTATTAGACCTTACTAAAGATTATAAAGTTAAAAAACTTTTTAAGACATTTTTGAAAGAATATAGAAAAGATAAAGAACTGGAATGGATGTATGGCCTCCTTTTTATTAATACTCTAAAATACTTTATTAATAATAAACCATTATATATCAGTGAAAAGTTCTGAATTCATAATTCAGCCTTGGTAGCTATTGGACTTAGAACTATGTATTACTCTGATGAATTATGTAAAATTAAATATAAGAATATTAAGATCAAAATGAAAATGTGTTGGATTTGAATAAATTTTTCTAAAACTAATCAGTTTGCAAATAGGAAATTTACAGTATTTCTATTGAATACTCAGATAACAACTACTGTTTAGCTAAGTTACTAAGTAAATATCTACATATTAGGCCAGAAACTACAGATAATAAACTTCTCTTTTTGTTATAAGAGAAAAAATAGCTAATTGTTAGAGTTGTTGATGCTATTGTTAAATAAATTGCTAAAAATACAAGTATTTAGACTATTTAATTGCATATAGCATCAGAATTGATGAGACAACAGCTGTTATAGAGGCAGGCTTATTCTTTATACAAATACAAACTATAGACAGCTGGGATAGTAATGCAGTAATGTTATATTTGAGAACAGTTAGGACTGGTAAATTATAGATTTCTAAGTAAATAAGTTTTTACTATTAATTCTCTTTTTATCTCTATATATTATTTTTTTATTATATATATATTAATAAAGTTTCTGATTAAGCAATAATAATGAAAAGCTTGTCAACAAAGTGATGAAGTGATTATTATTGCAAGATCAGATAACTTTAAGCACAAATCATATGCATATAATGTGCATTCTTTTATATTTAACAGATTTATTTAGTATTATAATTCTGTAATCAGAAAGTCTGTTACTAAACTAATCCAACTTTTATATAATCTATGGCAGCTAAGTCAAAATAAGTGTGTTAAATTTGGTAGGTGGTTTATCTGTAGATAAGTACTAGTCTTCTCAAGTCTTTTCTTTCAACTATTCTTTAATTAACTTTTGCCTTTTCTTGTTTTCTTATTTTTTCTCTTGTATGTCTTAATCTGAGATTACAATGCATCAAATTGAGGTTGAACTTCTTCTATTCATTTAAAGCCTTCTTGGTTATATGAGTTATATAAAATAATCAATAGCAGGTTTAGTGGTTTACAAATAGACAATAGAATTAACAATAGAATTAACAATTGTTTATTAGTTTGTATATGGTAGACTTTCACTTTTATTAGGAGTTAGATATGTATTGTTATTAGAAAATTTGTAGTTAGGAATTTTGGAATTATTTTAGAAAAAGGATTATTGTTTTTTTTCTTCCAAACAGAAATGCTTTTTATTTATAATAAACTGTTTATTTATATTGGTAATTAATTTATATCATAAATGTCAGATATTCCTTATGCTCAATATATATAATAAAAGACTAATATGGTATTTAATACATATATGGCTGAAGTAGTAGAAATAACATAAGTGTCATAAGTATTATAAATACTATAAGTAACATTTCTGTTACTTTTCATATGACCTTAGATCCGATAAGGATTATCACCCTAATTTGAGCACTCATAATTCCAAAAATCAGGCTCACAGTATTTTGTTGATTCAAGATTAGTACTGGAATGACATATGAATAGTTTTATTTTGTTTATCTATGAATTGTAAATAAGTAATAATTATTAATTAAGGCTAGGAAAACATTATAAGATTTGTATAGGTATCATAGATAAAGTGAGTTATTTAAGAATTGATTTTTAGAGGAGAAATTGTTTATATTTCTATTTACTATTGCTCACCCAGTAGTTAGAGCTGGCTCTGTTAACCCTTACCCACCCAGTACTAAGTAAATAGTGATATTTTCTTTTATAAGCTTTGTGGCTGTGAAGGCAGTACAAGGACTTATTTTAATAGGCTTCATGACTGCAAAGGCAGTACAAAGATCTAAAATTCTAATTGTAAGAAACAGATAAATGCTTTATGGACTCTATGGCTGCATTAGCAGTGCAAGAACCCAAATTTCAATGTTTTAATTAGCCTAAACTGCAATAGAGAGCAAGGGTTTTACTTTCAGACCCTTTTCTAAGCAAGTACACTATACTCCTTTCCATTTCCTAACTGATTCTCAACATAGCTATAATTAGTATTAGTACTGTTTAGGTATAGTGAACCTATTTCCATATATTATTTCTTTATTATATATATATTAATAAAGTTTCTGATCAAGCAATAATAATATACAACATCATTAGATATAGAAATTTTATATAGGCAATTGATTGCTTATAATCAACAAATCAGATCACAGTTTCAGATGAAAATATGTTATGATAATTTATGACCTAAAATTTTGGAAAATTCATCAGTGTTATATAAAATTAATGAAAAAATGCTAGGAAAACATCCATCAGCAGAAAAGCTTTGCAAAATTTTTATAAAATGCCAAAATAATGAAAGCATTTTACTTAAGCTACTAATTCAAAAAAATTAAAAGTAACAATAAGCAAGAATATTCAAAAATTGATTATAGAAGTAAAGTAGCACTTGGCTAAAATTAAGCCCATGAAATTAGATCTTTATGCATGCATTAGATTTTAATTTTAGCCAGAATGCTACTTTAGATAAATTGCTACTTCAGATGCAACATTGTCAAGTTAAATCTAAAAATGCCAGGCATGGTCCTATGGCATAATGCATATACTTATAATAAAACTATTTTTAATAGCATCGTGCTGACATTTTAGAACCCTTAAACTGTATTAACCTTTATTTATTAATACACAATTTAATATTATTATTTACTAATTTTATAAGTAGTGGATTAAATAAACTATCAGTTCTGAAAGTTGAGCCATATAAAAATTATTAAATTATAATAGGTTTATTTTTATGATTTAGCAAAATAATTAGTTAAAAACTTTTGCTTTGAACAATATTTTAGAGGGTTTGATAAAATAATGTTGGCTAAAAAAAAATAATTGTAATTTTTGAAATAATTTATATTCTGTCTTTTAAAGATATTTGAACTGTAATACATATATAAAATCATTAATCTATAAATTTGCAATTTTACTAACAATTGTAAATATGTTATACTAAATTATAGCTTGGAGTCTTTAAACAACATCATTTTTATTAGGGACATTGAATAAGCATCAAGTTTGTATTTCATATTTCAAAAATATTTTTTCTCAGAACCAAATTTTAGGAACAAATATTATTGTTGCAACCTGTCAAGTTGTCAGACTATACTATGCATATATGTTATTTATCATGACCTAAATGGCATCTTATTCTATTACATAGTGAACTGAAATCTTGATCTAATTCTTCAATACGGATTGAAAATTAATTTTAATTTGTAACTGATATAATTTTGTCACTTTTAAAGAGTAAAATTAGATTATAAGCCAATATCAACTGCAACATGCGAATCAGTTTAGATTAATTACCAAAAAAGTTATTTAATTAACTCAATGTTATGAATTTGTGTAACTTTGAAGGTTTTTAAATTGTAATGCAAAATATTTGACAGTTATTGTGTATCCTGCATCTAGATTTATTATTTTAGGAGTCTAAGTCGAAACTAAATAAAATTAAGTTTCTATAATAAATACGAGCCTAACAAGCATGATACTTTTTATTAGAAGTTATATAGCAAGATAATATGATACATATTGATGTAAATAATTATATACTAAGTAATAGCACTTTCTACTGTTACGAGGTTTTGATATTTTATAGTTTAATTATGCAATTCATTTGTTAAGGCAACTCACCAAAAGCATGACAATGGTAATTTTAATAATTTAATTTACTTGTTATAGATATATAGATACCATTTTATTTGGAGTTTATTTTCTTAATCATTAATAAGTTATTATTTTTAAAAGAGTACTACAGCTTTCTTTTTATATCATTTAAACTTAAGGCTATATAAGTTATTCTACTTTACACTTTTATTTCTATTCGAACATGATTGGTTTCCTTATACTATGTCATTACCCTTATTATTTTTCTCATTATTACCTTCATTATCACTCTTATCATTACTCCTCATCATTATTATAATTTGTGGAATGTTTGTATGACAAGGAGAAGTATTTCTTTTTTTGGCAATTCTCTTATTTGTTTAACTTCACTACTTTTTATTTTTTCATATATACTATTATTTTTCAGGCCTATTCTTTTTACCTATAACATTCACTCTCACTTATCTTATGTATACCAGACATAAGAAGCTAAGAGAGAAAAAAATTTTTTTTTTTTTTTTTTATATAGAATTTTCATGACTATGATATTTCTTTAGTAATTTTTAGTTAATCAGTGATTTAATGATTTTTTCTTCGACAATACGAAGCTTATAGACTCCTTTTGATAGAACTTTGTAGATAATGAAGGGTCTTTTTTATTTAGGGTCAAGTTTGTTACTCCTTGAAGTTGCTTGTGAAGCCTTATAGACCAAAACAGAATTTCCTTTTTCTAAGTTTTCCATGATCCGCAATTGTCGATCATGCCTTTTTTTGGCTAGTTTTTGTGCTTGTTCAACTTTCTCAACTGCTGTAGTTCTGAACTGTTGTACAATATCGATTAAGTAAATAATTATTGTAAAAAAGTCCCTTCTAATAAGTCTTCCATTTCACTTGAATGTATTGGAAGGCATGCTTTCTTTCTGTAAACTAGATAGAATAGAGTCATACTAGTTGTATTCTGTCTTGCTATAAGATAAGCAAAGAGAATTGACAATATTAGTAGATTCTACTCTCAGATATTAGTCATGAGTTTGGCTATAGATTCGCAGAGTGTTTTATTGAATTTCTCAACCAAGCTATTAGTTTGTGGATGATAGGATGTGGAAAAGTAGTAGTTTATTTTAAATCTCTTCAAGAATTCTTCTATTAGACTATTTTTAAAATGTGTACCCCTGTTAGACAATAAGTATTGAGGGCAACCATGCCAACATACAATGTCTTCATAAATAAAATCTGCTACTTCATTTGCATTTGCAGCCTCAATGGCTTTAGCCTTCAGCTATTTAGTCATATAATCAATTGCTATAACTATGTATTTATTTTCTCTGTTTGTTCTGAATAACAGTTTAACAATATCAATCCCTATTTTGAAAATGGGGCCTCAACTTGAATGGGATGTAATGGAGTTTTTACCAAGTTTTTACCTCTTCTTTGACAAGCATCACAAGTCTGTACATATCTTCTTATGTTTTCATACATTTGGGGCCAATAGTATTTGTTGAAGATTTTGTAGAACATTATATCTTTCCTGAAGTGACCTCCAAGTGGGTGAGTATGTGTTAAGAATAAGATTGGCTCAACTTCAGGTTTCTGTATAACTCTTAGTAGTGCATTTAATTGATGTTTATTTTTTTTTGTAGATCAATCCTTTTTTGATTACAAAAAATTTACTCTGGGATTGTAAACTTCATCATTGTTGTAGGATGAGAGTATGTGGTAGTTTTTGTTCTGTTAAATATGTTTTAATTGTTGATATCTTATTAGTTCTATTTTAATTTGCCAGGACACTGACTACCTGATCAGGATTAAGTTTATTGTCAGATTTTAACCTTTGTGTATTTTGTATTCTTTTTCACTAGTAAAAGCAAACTTACTCTTTTCACACAGTGTTTATTGTCATGCCAACACCTAGCTATTTGTACACAGCTTACAGTTAAAGTATATAGCTTTTTTCATGCGATGTTTATTATTATTCCAACAACCAGCTATTTGTTTTTTTTTTTTTAGGTTATTATATATAAACAAAATATAATTTTAAATTTTATATGAGAAAAAATATTAACATTTGTATGTTTTTAACCTGTTCAGTAAACTATTATATAGGGGTGAGTCAATAGAAACCAAGCAAATTTTTTCTAAGTAAATTTTTTTTAAAGTTTAAAATAAAATATCTCAACAATTATTTAACCAAACTTGATAAAAATTTTTTTATTTTAATTTTATATAGTTATAAAATTAAAAGAAAAAAAATTCATCAAAGTTGGTTTAATAGTTGTTAAGATATTTTAATTTAAAATTTTAAAAAAACTTACTAAAAATAATTTGCTTGGTTTCTATTGACTCACTTCCATATAGTCATAGAGCTGCAACCTTAATATTCACATGTTCTCTTCTCTTTTAGTTTAGCAGTACTTAACCATTTTAGCACAGCATAATTCATAACTAATATAAAATATTATATATCTAGGTAATAATGGAATTGTTCAACAGCCCATAGTATCACTAAACATTCAAGCTCTGATGCCAAATAATTTTGCTTGGTTCTTGTAAGTCCTTTGATGGCATATACTATGACATATTCTTTATTATCTTTGTCTTTTTGGACTAAGATAGTGCTTAGTCCAGTAGCCGAGGCATTCATATGTAAATAAAACCTTTCTTTGAACTCTGGATATCGTAGAATAGGCACCATCATTAGATGTCTTTTTAAAGTTTTGAACACATACTGTTGCTTCTTAGCCCATTCATAGAGTATATTTTTTTTTAGAAATTTATGTAATAGTCAGGCTATTGTTGTAAATTCCCTGATAAATCTTCGATAATATGACACCAGACTAATGAATCCTCTTAACTGACAAAGATTCATTAGTTTTGAGAAGTTTTTTACTTTTTTTATTTTGTCTTTGTTAGATCTTACACCATTTTTACTAATTATATATCTAAGATAATGGAGTTCTGATTGGAAGAACTCACATTTATCTAAATTTAATCTTAGTCCAGTATTTTGTAACTTATTGAAGATGATATTTAAGTAGTTGAGGTAGTCTTTGAATGTCTTAGAATATATATTTATGTTATTGAGATAGACTACAACATATTCTTCAATACATTTCTGTAAAACCTTATTTATTAATCTTTGAAATGTATCTGGTGCATTACAGAGTCCAAATAGCATTACATTTAACTTATAACTGCTGTACTTCATAATGAAGGTTGTTTTTTTTTTATTCTTCTCTCTTATTCCTACTTGCCAGTAGCCACTTATTAAATCTAAGGTGAAAAACTACTCAGCACTGTCAAACATATCAAGAAGGTTATTAATATAAGGTAGAGGGTAGGTATCTTCTTTGTGACTGAATTTAGTTTTCGATAGTTTATGCAAAACTACAACTTCACATTCTTTTTTGATACTATGACAACAGAAGAAGTCCAAGGGCTAATTGCATCCCTAATTAGTTTTTTATTGATTATTTTACTAATTTCTTCTTTACAAATTTATTCTTTTTTTAGACTAATTCATAAAATTTTTGCCTAATTGATGCTGCATCACCTGTGTCAATAACATGTGTAATGATATTTGTTTACTCTAAATCCTTTAAGTCTCGAGCAAACAAATCTTTCTCTTGATTAAAAAGGTTTTTAATCTTTTTCTTTTGTATTGTTTTTAATACTTTATTATTGAGAAGTTCTTGAAGTTTCTTTTTGAAATGCTTTTTCTCTTTTTCTCTGCCTTGGCTTGGTACCTCCTTGATATTAGTTAGATATAAGGCTGGATTTTCCTTATACATTATTGGCCAGTTTTCAGTAAAGAGACCTTTAGGTTCACCAGGTTCCTCTTTCTCCTCATAGTCGAATTCATCAAAAGTATCTTTATTTTCATTGTCAAATTCAACTTCCTCATCAGATACTAATATTTTTGCTCTAGTATTTGATATTAGAACTTCTGCTAACTTATCTAAGTATTTTAGATATAGTTTTTGCTTGTCAAAGTATATATAAGCATTTACTTTTTGAAACCAGTTAGTTGCTAGTAACAATATCTCTTCAGAGACTCTAGAACTTGTAGAGTGGTAGGTATTGTAATACCTTAAATAACTAATTTTGTGTTTTTTACTTTTTCTAATGTTTTGGCTTTGGCTCTCATCACTATTACTATGACTATTAAGGACTCCTCATCAATTTCTAGGCCAATTTTATTCAGTAGTCTCTTTGAGACAATATTTATAGTTGCTCCCGAATTAAAGACTGCAGTTAATAAATTATTATAGATTTTTATATAACATCTCACTGCAGTCATTCAGTAACCTTCTTCATAATTAATAAAGTTAGTTTTGGGTAATAGTACCATCCTCTTTAATACTTTAGCCAAATTCTTTCTCTGATTAGAGTATTAAAATATTTGGCCTACTGTAGTACTAGTTGGTAAAGATAAAATATTATCTATTACATTATAGAATTTAAGAATTTCAATCATAGAGAGTCCAAGTTTCCTCTTAGGTTTACTTGTTGAACCACTCTTTTTATTAATAGAATCATTAATGATTTCTATTTCTTGTCTTTCGATAGTTTTTTCGATTGGTTGCATCTCTGTTACCTTCTTATCCCTTAATCTACTTTCCCAATTCAGATTAATTGGTTGTTTCATGATCTTATTTGTTACTACTTTGTCTCTTATAGTATATACTTTATCTCTTTCTTCTTTTTTTTTACCAACTTACAGAAATTTATGTCTTTAGATTGATTCCAAGATTTTTTGTTATTTCTTTGATTCTCACTTGGTGCTTTTCTTTCAGAATGACAATTTTTGGCTAGGTGTCCTCGTTCACAACAGTTGAAACATTCAGGTTTTTTTCACTATTATCATGAAGGATAAAGAAGGTAAGAGCATCCATTATTTGCATTTTTTAATTTATTAGTTAATGTGACATAATTCAAGACCATCTAATCTAATTTTTTTTTATATCATTCAATTCTGCTTTGTGTTGTAGTTTTTTTTTGTATTTATTTGTTTGTTGGTCATAGTAATCTTCAGCTTCAACTTTTCATGCTACAGCAATAACCTCATTTAGATTTTTAGGTGTAGTTACAGTTACAAAAGTAGCATTTTTATTCTTTAGACTGCTCAAAAACATTCTCACTATATAACCACTAGGGAGGTTATTGTTAAGGTTTATTCTTCTGAATAATCTTTTAAACTTCATAGTATATATATCTATTCTTTCCTCCTCTTTCTGTTTTAGGTTATTTAGTTTAATTTATCAATGATGCTGTCTTTCAGAAGATACAAAATTTTCTACTAATAACTGATAGAAACTTCAGTTCTTTTCTTTCTTGTCCTCACTTTCAGTTTTCCAATGTCTAATGTCAGTCTTATTTTCTTTGTACCAATTTGTAACTGTTTCCTTCAAATATCCTGAAACAATTTGCAGTCTACATTTCTCAACCCAATTTTTAGCTTCTGTCACATGTTTGAATTCATTGAGCCATTCAATAGGGTTCTCATTATCCATTCTGTAGAAATTCTTTATTTTCATAAAGTTGTTTTCTTTTGAATTAGTTTTATTCTCAGATAAGGACTTAGTCATCATTTCCATAAATTCTTTGAACTGATCAGTATTCATTTTTATAAGATTTCTTTTGTTACAGTTAGAAATCAGAATCTCACAGTCACCACCAATTGTTACAGGGTTTTTGATATTTTATAGTTTAATTATGCAATTCATATATTAAGGCAACTCACCAAAGGTGTGACAATGGTGATTTTAATAATTTAATTTACTTGTTATGGGTATATAGGTACCATTTCATTTGGAGTTTATTTTCTTAATCATTAATAAGTTATTATTTTTAAAAGAGTACTACAGCTCTCTTTTTATATCATTTAAACTTTAAGGCTACGTAAGTTATTCTACTTTACACTTTTATTTCTATTCGAACACGATTGGTTTCCTTATACTATGTCATTACCCTCGTCATTTCCCTCGTCATTACCTTCGTCATCACCCTCGTCATTACCCCTCATCACTATTATAATTTGTGGAACGTTTGTATGACAAGGAGAAGTATTCCTTTTTTTGGCAATTCCCTTATTTGTCTAACTTCGCCACTTTTTATTTTTTCATACGTACTATTATTTTCCGGGCCTATCCTTTTTACCCGTAACACTACAGTGCAACATAGTACAGAATATTTGTGACCTATCAAACATACATTACGTACCTTAATTTTTAACCGCACATTATGTCAAAAGAAAAAAGCTTGCCATGCACTTGCGCTAATCCACCTGAAGAATTATCAATAAGAACAAATGATAAAGATCAACTTGTTAATGTTTCTAAACGAGCGGATAGATCATCATATGATTCGCAGGATTTTCTAAATAGGATTATCGACAAATTATGTAACGTGTATAATAAAGAAGTTATTAAAGGGAATCTTATAAGCTCGATTCTTTACTCCATAGATCAACATTTTACAAATAAGCAGAAAAAACCAGAAGAAATAATCAACTTATGTTTAAATAACCAAACAAACTCTATTGTTCAAACCAATCCTATAATTCAAAATATCCTTGCATATTGTTATCGATATGGAAAATTTTTAAGAAATGATAACCGTGAAGCATTTATTCGTTATCGAAATTCAGCAGAGATGGGAAATTCTATTGGAATATGTAATCTTGGATATTGTTATCAAAACGGAATTGGAGTTGAAAAAGACGATCATAAAGCATTTGTCTATTATCAAAAATCAGCAATTATGGAAGATTCTTATGGAATCAATTCCCTCGGAAATTGCTATCAAGATGGAATCGGTGTTGAAACAGACGAACACAAGGCACTAATTTATTATCAAAAATCGGCAGAAATGGGCAATGCAATAGGAATGAGTAGTCTTGGATATTGTTATCAAAAAGGAATTGGAGTTGAAAAGGATGAATATAAGGCATTCACTTATTATCAAAAATCTTCTGATATGGGTAATACTAGTGGAATGGACTATCTTGGTGATTGTTACAGAAAAGGAATTGGAGTTGAAAAGGATGAACATAAAGCATTCACTTATTATCAAAAATCTACTGATCTGGGCAATTCTAATGGTATATACGATCTTGGACTTTGTTACGAAAACGGAATCGGAATTGAAAAGGATGAACATAAGGCATTCACTTATTATCAAAAATCTGCTGATATGGGCAATTCTGATGGCATATATGGTGTTGGATATTGCTATCAAAATGGAATTGGAATTAAAAAAAATGAACATAAGGCATTCATTTATTATCAAAAAGCTGCTAATATAGGTAATTCTGTTGCAATATTTCAACTTGGATATTGTTATCTATATGGAATTTGAGTTGAAAAGGATGAACATAAGGCATTCACTTATTATCAAAAATCTTCTGATATGGGTAACTCCAATGGAATGTATAATCTAGGATATTGTTATGCGAGCGGAATTGGAGTTGAAAAGGATGAACATAAGGCATTCATTTGTTTTCAAAAATCTGCTGATATGGGTAATGTTGATGGAATATTTCAACTTGCGTTTTGTTATCTACGTGGATTTGGAGTTGAAATTAACAATCATAAAGCATTTGATCATTTTCAAAAAACTGCTAATATGGGAGATATTGTGGGAATGAATCTTCTTGGATATTGTTATCGAAATGGAATTGGAACGGCAAGAGACTTACAGAAAGCCAATTTTTGGTACCGAAAGTAATATAATTTTATTCTTATCTCTTTACTAGTGATGGGAAAAATGCGCATTTTAAAATAACATGCGCATGAATGCGTATTAATGCGCACGAAATGTTTCATGCGCATGAATGCGTATTAATGCGCACGAAATGTTTCATGCGCATGATATCGCATGATAAAAAAAGGCAAAAAAAAAGAAAAAACGATCGAGAGGAGAAACCTTGATGGGATAAAATGCGCATGAAACCCATCTCTACTCTTTACATAACTGCGTTTTTACAATGTATTTATTTAATAATATTAGATAATTTATTTTATTATTTGATTTTATTTGCAAGTTCTAAATGTATAAAATCTTCAGTAGTAAACGGAAGACTCTACGAAGATGATATAGATGATAATTTAAGAAAAATTTTGAATGAAAATAAGATTAATTTATCATGGATCCCTTATAATGAATTCAAAGAAATTAAAGAAATAGGACATGGAGGATTTGCAACCGTATATAAAGCTGATTGGGTAGATCAAAATTATAGTCTGAATGCAATTGTAGCACTTAAGCTACTCAAGAGATCTAAATATTTTTATGAAACTTGGTTTGTTTTTCATAATAACTTGTATACTAATATCCTAATATAATATATATTTGCTTAATTTTACAGTTAAAGGCGTATTGTGATATTAATTGTGAAAATCCATCATTTTTACAATGCTATGGGATATCAAAAGATTATGCTGGAAATTATATCCTTGTTTTAAAATTTACTGGACTAGGATCTTTGCGTGAAAACCTTCATAAATTATTAGAAATAGAATGGGTAGATAAATTAAATTTACTGCATTGTATTGCATCAGATATTCAAATAATTCATTCACAAAAAATTATTCATCGAGATTTACATAGTGTAAATATCTTGCAAGACACTTTACATAGTGCATATATTGCAGATTTAGGACTTTCAATATCATCTGATATAGCATTAAAGACAAAGTCCATTGGGGTCTATGGAGTTCTGCCATACTTGGCACCAGAAGTTTTAATGGAAGGTGAATATACAACATCATCAGATATTTATTCATTTGGTATAATTATGTGGGAAATTTTATATGGGCAACCGGTTGCTTATGATCAACAAATCGGATCACAGCTTCAGATGAAAATATGTTATGATAATTTACGACCTAAAATTTTGGAAAATGCACCACAATGTTATGTAAATCTAATGAAAGAATGCTGGGATAGAGAACCGAAAAAACGACCATCAGCAGAAAATCTCTGCGATATTTTTACAAGATGGCAAAATGATGAAAGTTATCTATTTGAGCTATCTAAATCCAAAGAAATTAAAAGTAATAATATGCAGAAATATTCAAAAGCTGATTATAGAAGTAAATTTATTAACTATACTGCATCTTATAATCAAGGTAAATAATTGGGTTTTGAAAGTGCAAGAAACGATACAAAGGCATAATGTGCATGTCTATGCACGATGTTATGTTTTTAAATAGTACTGTGTCTCCACTTGCGAATCCTATAAATGATGCACATTTATACATAGACTGTATATATCTTTATTTATATTACATTTTAATAACGTGTTTACTAACTTTATTTATAGACAGTGGATTTATTAAACTTTCTATTCCGAAAAGTGGGCCACCTGAAAATTATTAAATCGAAATAGGTTATACTTACTATCCGTCGAAATAATTAGTTAAAAACTTTTGCTTTGATCAGTATTGTAGATGTTGAAACTATGTTTGCTGAAAAAAACATATGTGCAATTTTTAGGATTCATTATATTTATCTATTAAAGATATTTTGTGCATAATCATTAATATAACAATTTGCAAGTTTACTAAGTATTGTAAATATGTTACGCTAAATTATAGCTTGAATTGACGTATTTTAACTTGGAGTCTCAAGTATTAACTGTTTTCC